AAAAAAAAAAAAAAAAAAAACTACAAAAAACAAATGCACAATAAAAATAGCTAGTTGTGTAAATAAAGGGAGCGGGGAGACACTGGAACTTCAGAAGTCAGGAAGCAACTGTGTGTGAGTCCTTCATTTGGTGTTCCAAATTAGTTTGCTGGGGCTGCCATCATAAAGGACCACAGACTGGATGTCTTTAACAACAGAAATTTAAATAGCAGTCACTAGAGCCTATGGATTTTAGGGGAACATAATTCAGCTATAAGTCTATGGAAATATTTCAGGAGCTTTTTGAGTTCTCAAAGTTAAGTGCTGAATTGTGCTCAAGTGTGTGTGTTTCTGAGGCATGTCCTCATCATGCAGCTAACTAAGGGGCTTCCTGATACACACACCATAGCTGCTGCACTAATTGGCTCAGGAGGGAATTAAAGCAGGGACCTAAAGCCTAGGAGTACCACAGGTGTCAAATAAACGTGTCTTGGTGTTCACTGGAATATGAAAAATAAAGAGCAGAAGCTGACTATAAGACTGCAGTAGCGAAGCACTGAAAATTCTGTCAGAACTGGTGATGGGGGGAGGTGGACTTTTATTTTTAGACTTTATTTGAATTTCATGGCCAATTATGTAATTTCCATAATTGTCAATAAAAAGCACTGGTGATTTTCCATAACTAGTGGATTCAATGAAACTAAACTGCTCAATATATCCTTGCTAATATTTTCCTAAAAAGAAAATCACAGCGCCACAAAACTGTCACCAGCTGCTTCCCATTAGGAATGTGGTTAGCAGATGTGGGCTTTCATAGTCATAACGCATGAGATAGTTAATCCATTTTTGCGGGTTTCAGATGGATAATGATTTATCTTGGTGGGATGAATTTTAAAATGTGCTTGCATCAGCTAAAACATATATCCACTTTTCTTCCTCTTACTATGTGTTCGTGTTGGAGAAGAAAGAATACTGATATTTCTCCCAGAAGGCCAAGTAGTACCGTCCATTAAAAGGGACAGCTGATCTCACTTTCTTCTATCTGGGAAAGCACGCTGGATTGGTTATTTTACAAGTCTATTTTTCCCTTTGGCCTCTTCTTTATTAGTAATCGAGCAGCTCTTGCTTTTGTTGCTCTGGCATCTGGCCACCTTTGTGGCAGTGACCTTCAGGCTTGCTAAGGACTGCAATTTTGCCTGGGGCCCTCCTTCCTTATAAAATTACACAATACTCAAACCTTGGATGCAGCCCCAGAGCCACTAATTTTTTTTCTTTGACGGACTCTTGGCCGTATATGCTGCCTTGCAGCCAAAGTGTAGCTTTACAGGGTTTGTCACTGAAATTAATTTGGCCATTTGCCCTTTATGCTTGGAATCAAATGGTACTATGCCAGACTCATTCCTAGATAAAGTATAGAATCTCAGCTGGAGAATCTCTACCAAAGAGTTTCATTGTTTCTGCTGCTGAAGGTCAGTGAGTAATAATAACAGCAGCTGGTACTTCTTAGGGAACCCTTCCCTGTGACAGGTACAGTCTGCTCAGTGCTTTGCATGCATCATCCTCCCAATCTCCACAACTGCCTTAGAAGCAGAAGGCACCTAGAACTGAGGCCCAGGACCTCAGCCCCACCTCGGTCATTATATAGCTAGTAAATGACCAACCCAGAATTAGGGCCTCGCACTTTTAATTATCACGCTGTACTCTACATCTACTATGAAAAAGAGAAAAGAGTAAGAAAAAAAGACCATTAGGGCCGGGGATATAGCACAGTGGCACAAGCGCCTGCCTGGCAAGCATAAGGTCCTGAGTTAGATCCCTGGTGCCAAAAAAAAAAAGAACAGAAAAAAAGACCATTGGGCTTCAAGAGGGCATAGAATCAGAGCCTGAGTCACAGAACTGTAGGATACAATTACAACCCAGAGAACTAATACTACCCTCTCATTTTAAAGTAGCAATGATCTCTGCCTGTTCTGAGAAATAGTAAGATAACAGCTTCAGCAGAGAAAACAGATCCTGATGGGTGACAGGAATGAAAGGTTGTTTGGAATTATCTCAGTCATTTCCTTTTTTAGAGGTAGATAACATGTCTGTTCAAAGAATTATCTAAGTTTCCCTTACTGTCCTTAAGAAGCCGTGGAAACCGATGTGTACTCTTTTTATTTCAGATTTCATTATCCAGAGTAAGTACATTTCCACTGACTACTTGAGATTGTTAGGTGGTAATTTTCACTCTGCAAGGAACCAGTAACCTTCAGAAAGATTATTTGGAAAAACTATAGCACAGGAAACACTGAATTCAGTCAATCATGTATTTAATGAGTGCCTTCTTTGCAAGTCAGTATCTTTGGAACAGTGGGAAATAAAAATGAGTTGATAGGTGGTCCTTGTTCTCCTGTAGTTTATAATCTACTTTGGCAAACCGGTCAGGCACAGAATTAAATTGTCTAAAGGAAAAATCTCAATGAATTAGATAGGGAAAGCTGGGATGAGATTTTGCTGGGTAGAAAAGTGGTTGAAGTGGGAGGTAAATATTTGGAAGAATTTAAATGAGAATATGGAGGCATCATTGAGAGTCAGTGACTAGGTAAATTTGGCTCACCTGAAAGCTGTGCATTGTGGAGCATGCCTGTAATCCCAGCACTCAGGAGGCTGAGGCAGGGGGATCCCTGCGAATTCAAGGCCAGCCTGGGCTACAAAGTGAGTTCAAGGCTGCCTGAACTACTGAGGGAGACCTTTTCTCAAAAAGAAACAAAACAACTGGCTTATCTGAAATTAGCGATATAAACTGAAAAGTTCATTTAGATTCTGATGGAAAGTTTATGTAAATACTGTACAGCTTGAAAGTTTGGGAATTTTTTAATGGATCTTTTGAAAAATAACTTTTAAAGGGAAACACTCCTAAATACATAACATAAATACCAGTATCTACTACCTTCCCTGCTCTCAGGGTTAAACATTTTGTTATATAATTTGCTATCTTATGTAAGTGCCCTCAGTAGTAGTTAAATCTGTGACTTCCTCTAGCTCTATTGACAAAAAAATTCCATGGAAAGAATTTCTAGTACTTCCCTTTTGTTAATAAAGGTGTCCTCAAGTGTCCAAACTCTGGATGAGGACATATGCAAACATGTTAAAAAATAATGCCTATATTCCAAGGAATCAGCTGCCAAATGCTCTGTAACAAGCAGAAATTTCACATAACTCAGGCCTCTGGGGACTCACGCCTCAGCTGGAACAAAGCCAGAAATGTCTATGACTGCAGGTGTACTTAGGCACATTGGGACCTGCTGGAACAGCAAGCTGGCCTCCCTGCAGTTGATTTAGGAGAGAGCTGGAGGGTTGAGCATTTGCTGACATTTGCAGTATGGAAAATCCTTTCTACTAATTGCAAAGAAGGTTCTGCTATAATGATTTTTTTAAATGTATTTTTCTCAGTTTGAATTCTACATTTGTGCTCTGGATGCCTCCCAGCCTCTATTTTTATTGTTTTGACCCCTGATCCAGGGGCCTTTTGGGGAGTGTGTGTGCACATGAATATGTTGCCATAGAGGGCTTGCGTGCCTGCAGCTTAGGAGCCTCACCATGTACTTGCTGAACAACCAAGTGAACTGCTTCTTTCACAGCAATTGGTGCACACTCCTGCTTCCCCCTACCCCTGCCCAAATGAAATCATGGGGATTTTGCTTTTACTGCTGAAGGAAAGTCAGAGGGCACCTTGACCCCATGGTTTTGCTGAGAGCTGGCCTTCTCAGCAGTGTAGTTTCTGGACCCTCAGTTTTGAGGTCTGACTTGTAAACAGAGCACTGGACCAGGAGGCTAGAAGAACTAAATCCGTCTCTGCTTCCTCGCTGTGGATTTAGGGCCAGAGTTTGGCTTTTTGGTCCTTAGCTCCTCTAGCCTGAAAGCTGGAAAAAGCCATGGATTACATCACTCATGTCTCTGGATAAAAATCATAGGCTCTGTGGCGTGTACGACAGTGGCTCCATGGCTGTTGGTCATGGGACCTTTCTGAATTGGATGAAAATCATGGATTCCAAAAAAATCTTAGGGACCAAATTTTGCATACAATTTCTAGGCATGTTACAAATGCCTCAACAAAAGGGGATGGCCTCCAGGCTAAGAAAGTCAGGTCTACACAGTCAAATCCAAACTCTTCAATATATTATACAAAGCTTTTCTCACTCATATCCGGCCATTTCCATTGACCTTGTTCTGTTCACGTTGGGATTCTGGCATCTTCCTAAGTAACCATCTATGATGGTGAATTTTGTGTTGAGTGAGCTAAGAGATGCTTAGATAGCTGGTAAAGTATCTCTGGGTGTGTCTGGGGGGGATGTTTCTAGAAAGATGAGCATTTATTGTTTTTTTTTTTTTTTTTTTTTTTTTTTTGGCACCAGGAATCAAAATCAGGACCTTGTACTTGCCAGGCAGGCGCTTGTGCCACTGAGCTATATCCCTGGCCCAAGAAAGATGAGCATTTGGATGGTAGACTGAGTAAAGATTTCTCTCACCAACATGGGCAGGCAGCATCCAATCATTTTGAGAGCTGGAATAGAACAGAAAGGCAAAGGTATGGTCAGTTCACTCTCTGCATGAGCTGGGAAATCTGTCTTCTGTCTCCTAGGCTTTGGTACTCCTGGTTCTCTGTTTTTAGGATTGGACTAGGAATGACATCATCACTCCCAACCTTCTCTTTCAGTTTTAGAACTACACCATTGGCTCCTCTGGTTCTCAACTCTAAATCAGCATCATTCTGCAAGTATCTTCGAGGCCTGCCTCTTGTGGCTGCAAAGCTTAAGAAGATGGGTTGCCTCTAGTTACACGCAAGTAAACAAGTGGTTACAAAGCAGAATGACAAAGTCTTGGATTCATGCCTCTGGACCTTTGTTCATGCTGTGCCCTCTGTTTGAGCTATTCCTCCCTCCACCACCATCTCGGAGGAGTTGACCCCCCAAGCCCAACTAAATGGTCTTTTTTATTGTACTCAGGGGCGTTTTCTATACAGTCTCTTAACCACAGAGTATCACACCTAGTTGGTTGGTTTTCTATTTTCCTTTCCCAGAGACCACAGCTCTCAACTGTGGTATATTTTATTCAGCTTATCTCCAGGGCCTCAAAAGAAGCCCGGCACATGGCAGCACGCTCAGTACAGACGGAATGAACCAAGCAATGCAAGAATAACGTGCAGCAAGAATAACGTGCTACCCCGTCCTGCAGGCTTACGAAGTATTTTTCCATGTTGCTTTTGCTTCCCGGGCCCATAGTAGAGGTCCGGGGTCTGGGGACCCGTTCGGGAACCAGCGGGGCACCAGCCGGGCGATAATGTTAAAGGGGAGCCCTGCCGAGCTGGAGCTACCCACGTCCGGTGTGCGGCGAGAGACCGGACAACTTCTTCCCCTCCCGGAAGCGGCCGCGCCGGCCTCTCCCCGCCCCTCCGGAAGGTGGGCGTGGCCCTCATGAATAATAAATCGCCGTGGGGGAGTGGCGGGGCCCGCCCCCTCGGGCGGGAAGGGGGAAGCGCCGAGGCTGTCTGACTGGAATGAGGGTAGCTGCGGCGACTGCGGCGGCGGGAGCGGGGCCGGCCATGGCGGTGTGGACGCGGGCCACCAAAGCGGGGCTGGTGGAGCTGCTCCTGAGGGAGCGCTGGGTCCGAGTGGTAGCGGAGCTGAGCGGGGAGAGCCTGACCCTGACCGGCGACGCCGCGGCGGCCGAACCCGAGCCCGCCCTGGGGCCGGCGGCGGCCGCCTTCAACGGCCTTCCGAACGGCGGC